ACATATTTCTTTACACACTGAAAGTATATTTTATGAAATATGTTACGCTTTGCAAACTGTAAACATAAAATCTTAATAGTAACCGTGTAAAATCTTTATTAGCCATGAAAATGCACTTAAATCGGATATTTCCCTCATATCGCGGTTTAGTAAATTGTGGGTAAAATTTTATTTTAAACTTAATACGTACAATTTAGAAGACAGCACGTAATAATATTTTGTCGTCAACGATAGATATAGTTCTTTTTGTTTCGGTTTAATATTATTGCTTTTCGTTTAAGAGCTGTGGTAGCTCAGATGGTTAGCGCTCGCTGTAAATTTCACAGTACAACCCGAGCACCAATGAAATTTTCGATCCCCGCCGGCACCAATGAAATTGTTAATTGCAATTTTAAGTGCTAATTTATCACGTGCTCGGCAGTGAAGGGCAACATCGCGAGGAAACCTGCATGTCTGAGAATAAGAAAAAAAAATATTTCGAAGTCATGTGAAGTTCGCCAACACGCAATGGGGCAGCGCGGCGGACACTTCTTTGCCTTAGGTCAACCCTCTCAGAAATGAGGGGAAACCAGTGCCCAGCAAGTGGGATGTGTACATTTAGACTATAATTTTAACTAACTTGTCGTTTGAAATAAATACAATGAGTAGGTGGAAATCTAGATACTTATTTAGGAATGCTTGAGGAACACAGTAATAATCATATTCCCTGTTCATATTCCTTCCTATTGGCCCTGATTGGACTCAGTAATTATTGGATTCCAGTTCCAGTACTGGAGAAGCTTTATAACTTTGATACTTCGTAAGGACCTTACTCAGTAGTGATCTATTGGATATAAAAAGTCAGAGTGTTGTTTGCATTACACAAACAAAATTTGAGGATAATTACGAAAATTCAATGCGGTTGAAATACCATATCTGTTATTTACCGAAATTGCAGAGGGAATCATCGCAAAAGGCGTTGGAGCTGTTGTTTGCGTAATATGAGCTATATAGCTATATAGGTACCTACTAAGTACCACCTGTTAAACTTGCATCTAGGCTACGACTATTATTTATTCTGGGGCTACGGTATAAATGTAGGTAGGTACACCTAGGGTTGCCACCTTTTTTTGAACAAATATAATATTTTTCCCAAAATAGATGTAAAAATATAGTACTTTTGAGAATATCAGGAAAAAAGTACACATTTATTTTTTATCTTTATGTATTTTCCAAATATACATGTTTGTGATTGCTCTTATCTTTAGCCATCAATGATTTATTATTTTATTACGTTTAAAATAATTATAGGAATCTGAGCAATTTAGGTTCATATTAAAATAAATTAACAATAATTCATTTTTAATTAGATTAATACGTGTTACGTACGTCTATTTCTTTCTTCTTTCCATTTTACACAGTTAATATAAAAAAGTGCTACAGTTGAATTAGGGATAAAACTATATTATTTATCGTACTATATTATTTTTCTATAATACATATATAGTACAATTGACTGAAATATATTGCGATACTATATACTATGTACGGGTGGCAACCCTATTTTACTGGATGTTTCATAGTTGGTTAGTAATAGATAACCTAATTTATATTTTGTGCGCTCATCATCAACTGCATTACAGCTTATCATCATAAGTCCACTGGTGTATATAAGTTCACTTGACATTAAAACAATACCCTGAGTCATGGTTTATCAAACCGTCCGACATCAAGTAGTGTGCGGACGCGAGCACTGCGTTTGCCATTATGAGGCACCTACCACATAAGAATCTTTCTTCCTCCATTAATTTCTGTTTGGCTTTATGTCAGCTAATAAGTGTAAAACCGTTTTATAATTATGAAGGTATAAAAATAAAAGTAAAATAAAGTTATAGCCTATATCCGGCCAACCGCTAAGTGGTGCCATTAAGTAAGCTTGGCTGGCAGACTACATTCCCTCAAAATATTTTATTTCAAAAACATGGTGGCGGTGAAAGGAAAAAAATGATTCATTAAGACTTATTTACAATCTATATTGAAAAAATATCAGTGAGTACGTGGTAAATCAACATTATAAAATTATCTTTATAAGACGACACATCGAAAAAGCGACTTCAGGCTATCGCCGTACTGATTCGAGTGAATACATAATTTCTATTAAAACTTGAAAAAACACCGTCATAAGGTCTAAAGTTGCGTAGCGCCCCCGACGAATAAAACCGCTTAAAAATTGTCAGAATCTTAAAATATTTTTTATAAAACTATTGATTTAGGTAAGTAATCAAAATAATGAGTAAGTAAATTATGAATATTGACGTTATGAATATATTTGAGTGATTCCCAAGCATATAGATTAAGTAATTTCGTTGTAATTTCAACTATAGTGATTTTTTAGAGGTGACGATCGAGTCAAAATTGTACAATCGTGTTTTTGAACAATCAAATTCAAGATAAAGACATGAATTTACCTATATCAAAATTCCACTTTCGTTAGTGGTGTCATAGTCCTATACTATTCGATGAAAGGATGTGCATTTTTTCGCGGTGTCGCCTTAATAATTACGTAAGCCGGCGCGGCGCGGCGGGGATCAAACTCTGATTGCTTGATTACTATGTATTGAACGTTTAGCCCCCAAGTTACCACTGCTAGACTTAACTACGTATAGTACTTATAATAGAAATTCATAGTAGATATTTAACATCTTAATATATAAAAATAATATCTGTTTGTGCGTATTTAATGCGCTGCCATGCCATACCGTTCATCAGATTGTAATAAAACTTTGTCAACTTATTGCCTGTACTAGCGCAAAGGTTATAGGCATGGTACAATCAACTTACAGTAGGTTGCGTGCGTATCGTACTGACAAATTTATTTGATAGTTATATATTCAACCATACATACATAGCATACATTACGTCACGCTCATCCAAATTCGAATGAATCAGTTCTTTGTGTAGTAAGACGAACCCGCCGCCGCACTGTAAAGAAATGTGAACGACACACCGCATTCCACCCGTTCGTGTAATTGGCTTGGTCGAGTAGTAAACATAGTAAGGACCCCGTCAAGCGTGCCGATTACGGGAAATCCTGCCTACTGTGGGAGAGGTCTGTGTCGCCCAAGAGTAGATATTTAAATGTTTATGGCTTCAGTGTAGCTATAAAAAAGATGCACTGGTACGCTAAATTACTCGGCGCTTGCCATAAATTTCAGAGTGCGGTAGAAGCCCGAGTTCGATCAACGTCAGCATTAATGAAATAGTTCTTAAAAATGTTGATTTACCATGTGTATAGTGAGTTGGTGCCCAGCAGTGGGGCTTTTTAAGTCTGGTTTTACTTTTATAAGGATGATAAATTATTGTTATAAGGATAAGCGTCATTATTATTGCGAACTGTATTTAAAAAAATGCTCACGTAGTGTTTGTTTACACGTTCATCCGTTTGTAATTACTTTTTATACATTAAAGAAAGTGTATTGTAAGAATAGATTTGGATTTTAATACATACTTAACACTATCACGATCAACGATCACGAGCTAAGGGTGCACCGTAAATTTAACTCCAACAGATGGTATAACACCATCTGTCCGAGTTCACCACCATCTGTCCGTGTTCACCAATACCTCGTATTTTTTATAGAAGCGAGGGTGAAACCCCAATTATAAGTTGATGCTATAGCCCACAGACATCTACATCTATCCATTCTCAAATAAAGAATCAAATTTTATGTGTTGTCACCCTGACTATCACGAGTAACAAGTTTATTGCTAAAACAGTAATTTGTACAAAATATCGTTTTATTTTAAATTGTAACATTACTTTTTGTGTACATAAATTGTTAAATGATTTGATGAGGTTAACAAACCCGACTGCTTTAACAAATTTATTAAAACCTTTCTCGCCTTTTTTATTTGCAGACGCAATATAACAATATATTTTTTATAGTACAAGGGTGGCAAAACGGGCACACAGTCTACCTGATAGTAAGTGGTTGCTGTGGCCTATAGACATCTACATCTATCCTTGATAACAAATCAAAATAGACATGCGTTATCACCACATAAATTGTAATAATAAGACAAACGATTTCTGTGGTTATCACCCGTGAGGACTAAGATGGAATGCATCGTTTCCGTTAAAAAGGGTCTCCGGTTCTCTACATTCACTAAACGAAACACAGCAGCGTTAAGCTGCTATTCGACGCTGGTATTCTGTGAGAGCGTGGTCCTTCCCTGGTCGAGCCGAACCATTTGTGCTAAACCATAATATAACTGCAGCGTGGCTCTACTACGTACAAACCAATATAATGTTTAATTACAAGCGCTTGTAAGCCATGTAGTGGTGGTGCAAGAATATCCACTACCGCATATCCTCCAGTGGGTGACGTAAGCCGCGATAAAAGGAAACTGTAACAGGAGCTAGGCAGCAGCATCTTTCTGAATCTTAGGGCTGTGTTCAACAGTAGATTTTTATGGGTTATTGCAAGAGAAATAGATAATGGATATTAATTATACCACCGTTTTTACGTGGTAGAACCACGCTGCAGCTATATTATAGCTTAGCATGAGTGGGTCTGCTTGACCGGGGCAGGACCACGCTCTTACAGAAATACCAGCGTAAAACAGCAGCGTAATGCTGCTATGTTTCGTATGGTGAGTGTAGAGAACCAGAGACCCTTTTTACTGGAATCTAAGCATTCCATCTTAGTCCTGAGGGGTAACAACGAATGTGCATTATGATTCTTAATTAGGGATAAATGTGGATGTGTATGGGCTACAGCATCCACTTACCGTCAGGTGGACTGTGTGCTCGTTTGTCACCCAATGCTATAAAAAAACTTAGTTAGCCAACTATGACACAGTAACGCTTGCATAGTTTTGTTTGTTTTTATATCATAGATAAGCTTCAAGCCGCAGATAATGTCTGTTGACTAAACATATTTACAATATTGTTAAGCGCATAATGTATGAATGTGTGTGTAAAAAGGAGAGCAATGAGAACAAACAGTTGTTATACTTACATCTCTAAACTGAACGGTGCCTGCCTCGCCTAGCTCGGAGACGGAAGTGTAGGCCGCCTCGGGTTGAATGAAGAGCTGGCACAGTGCCATCTCTTCGCTCCGGAACATCGCCCCCATCTTGGTGCTTTATCGTTCCCAGTACCTCTGTAACAGAATGTCATGTCATGTCAATCATTAAGTGTTAACATTGACAGCTATGTGGCGAGGTGGCTGAATGTTTGGTTGCGGCTATGCGGTCCGCGAATTCGAATCCCCGTCGGAACAAAAATTCAAACAGTTGTTGCAGATATAAATAAACATTCTGATCGATAAAATTATTAATGCCTGTGTATAATTTATGTGCATATGTAAAAAGCCTCCAAAACACAGGATATTCCTCGTACGTTAGTAATTAGGAGATGTGTACACTGATCCTAGAGCAAATGTAATAGACCTCAAACAATTTCGTCAACATAATTTACTTATAAAATAAAATTCAGATACATAACACTGCTCAAAATGTCTAGCATCTTTACTAGCAATCTATAGGTAATAAAATGTAATTAAAACTGTTTTAATAATTACAAATTATTTAGTACTTTTACTAAATACTAAATAATTTGTACTAAATAATTTATAATTATTTAGTACTTAGTAAAAGTAAAAAAACACGCAAGGCGACATGAGAAATTCATCTAATTGCACTGGAATAGCGATAAGTTCTATGAAGCTGTAATAAAGCTAACAGCACAAACATCACCGAATAACGACTGAAACAGCACAGCTCCCATTCTACGGCAGCTCCCGTAAGCTGTTACTTCTGAGAATGTTTTTATATCACTTATTTAAAGTTATGTGGGAAAAGTCTTAACCAAATAAATATTCTGTACATAACTTAGAAATTTGTCCATTTATAAAAAGAGGACGATACGTTGAGCATATATGAGATAGTTAGAGTATTAAAACTAGCTACTCCCAATCATGAGTCTCAGGGGCTTGAGCTCGACACAGGAGCCTGATTGTTGTCAAAGTAGATAATATCATTATCAAATCATATGAAGCCGAGCCTTCCAGTGGATGGGTGCGGGGGTAGGGAGTCGGTACAAATAGTTGATAATGTAGGTATATGTTGATGGATCATTTTAAAGTAAATTACCCACTGAGCTCTTCAGTCGGTAATGTTAAATCCGAAGTTCAGGGAGAGGCGCCAATGATACGCGTTTCTGCAGTGCATATAAGAAATCCCCTTAAGAATATGAAAGCATGAGATCTCAAAGTGGTATCAGAGTTGACCAACTGAGACATGCGGGAGTTCACTAGAGTTGCCCCGTACTATAATATACAGTATCGTACTATATTTCAGTCAATTGGGCAATTGTACTATATATATATATATATATATATATATATATATATATATATATATATATTTAGTAGTATAGTTGTTGCACGAATGGGTCGGCTTGACCTAAATCCTCACGGATGACAACACATCTGCATTTTGATTCGTAATCGAGGATAGATGTAGATGTCTATGGGCCGCAGCAACCACTTACCGATAGGTGGACTGTGTGCTCGTTTGTCATCCTATCCTATAAAAAAAATATTGTAGAAAAATAATATATTACGAAAAATACTATATTTTTATCCCTAATATCAACTGTCGCGCTTTTTGATTCTGGAATAAGTAAATTTTACTGAAGTAGTTATTGCCATCAATGAGTATAAAATGGAAAGAAGAAAGAAATAGAGCATGTATTAATCTAATTAAAAATTAATTGTTAATTTATTAAATGGCTTAGATTTCTATTATTATTTTAAAGATAATAAATCGTTGATGGCCACAGCGAATAGTAATAACAAATATATATGGAAAATACATAAAGATTAAAATAAATGTGTAATTTTTTTCCTAAATTTCTCAAAAGTACTATATTTTTGCATCTTTTTTGGGAAAAATACTATATTTGTTCAAAAAAGGTGGCAACCCTAGAATTCACCTACAGAACTTTCTAGCTCTGTTCTTCACAATGTGCATAAGCCACTCTTATCTACCGCATGACTTATTGAAAACCGTCGTAGTGCCCATTGTGAAGGACAGAACGGGTGTTATCTCTGAAAAAGGTAATTACCGGCCTATTTCACTAGCTGCAACTATTGCTATTGTTGGACCGTGTACATACTTAATTCTTACCTACCTACAGAAAAATATTAAAAATATTAGAAACATACATGACACACAGTTAAGATTCCGATATGGACTTTCTATTGAGACATAAGCCGCAGACGACAAGGCAACATAGACCGCAGAATACCAGTATATGCCTGCTTCCTTCACTTCGCCAAAGGCTTTAACAACCATATAATTTACATAAACTCTGATAGTCAAGCAGCACCGCTAGCGCTGAGGTCAAACTTAGTGAACTCGAAGCTAGTTGGAGACTGCGTGAACCGTTTAAACGCCCTGGGATGTAACAACAGGGTCGTTTTAAGATGGGTTCCGGGTCACGAGGGTATTGTTGGCAACGAATTTACCGACAAACTTGCACGGGAGGGCTCAAAGTGCTCACAATTTAAACCTGAGCCATTTTGTGGAATCTCAAGAAGCCTAGCCCGAATGACCCTTGAAACTCTTTATCACAATAAATCACCTAAGATCTGGTCTGACACACCAGGCTTAAAACATTCTAAAACCTTAATCCGGGCTTTTGATCGTAAATTCGCTTCAGAAGCCCTGGGATTAAGTAAAAATAAATTGCGCATTCTGGCAAGAGCCCTAACTGGACACTGTTGTCTTAAAAAGCACATGTCCATCCTGGGACTAAGCAACTCAAGGATGTGTCGGTTCTGTTACTGATTGCGGACCCTAAATGCGCAAACGTAACACTCAGCTGGGGACCTATCTACTCTGCCCAGAAAAAGTGAAATTGTTCACGGCTAAGCAACTCCTTCTATTCATTGAAGACATAGGGCTTAGCCGTGAACTATAGCCATAGCAGCGATCACAATAGATCTTCTAGGTCGCAGCGATACTGGTCTCTTTCCCCAGACTTGCATAGCTGCTCGCACATAAAAAAAAGGCTTTAAACCTCGTGTCTGTCGGCCGAGGTGTTGTGTTGTGTATAAAGGTTTAGTACGCCAACCAAATTAACTTTGTAAGATGTGCTGATTCTCTCTCGTATGCATATCGGTTGAAAGAATTGAAAAAAGAGAATAATACAGGAAGCGTCCTACTTCTACAATCTTCAATATAATATACGTCGGTTATCAGATAGATGGCGTTAGTAATACCTACATAAGCTACGCGGTGAATATAGTACTGCTCAGCCTGACGATAGGGGATCATAGAGAGATGTTAATGAAGCAAGGGCTCGCATATAATGTGAAAAAGACGGTATACATAATCTTCAAGGCCGCTGGTAAATATCCCTAGAACAGATAATCCGCCATAGGACAGGCCTGTCCTAGTGTGTAATCCGTAACAACAGGTATACTACTTTGTATGGATTAAAATTTCTGTACCATTTTACTACTCAGAGTGCATACTTTATTAAATTAAATTTATTTTTATTTGTATATGTAATATAACCCCTAATGGTATAAACGTTATACAAGTGACACAATTTAAATAGTGGGCCACATCTTTATGACCTTAAAAACGATGTTTAAATTGAAAGAGAGCATATTATGCAACTGCAAGTAGCAACATTAGAATTAGAGTAATAATTGGACCAAATAATTAAAACTGGACTCACTCAACTCTTTAATATTTTTCTTTTGGTTGTCTTCATAGTACATAACTCTATAGATTCAATTTGTTTCTATTGTACTTATTTTATTATTAAATTTTCATTTTATTTTTGATGGGTGTTTTATTTTTCATAAAAATTCCTTTTCTGTCTCGGAGTTCGTCTGTGTTGGTGCTAAGGGTATGTTCCGAAACGTTTTCAGTGTACTGCCGAATACAAATGACGTCATCAATCGACACAATATTGTACTGGCGTGCCGCCGCCATATTGTGTCGGATATCCGGCCATAATAAAACAATTTTTAATTGTGTGTTCTCTGAATGAAACATGCCAGAATTTGTTTTTATTTATTCAAATACAAAAAATTATAGAATAATTGCTGGTATCTTCATTAGGAAGATATAATGATTTTTGAAGCACAAAATGACAAAATAATCGCCAACACGTCTCCAATATGGCACAAATGTATAACGTTATATACTGTCCAATGTTTTGGAACGAATCACCAGTATAGCGTCGATTCATGACGTCATTTGCATTGGACAGTACACTGGGTTCTATTTTGGAACATATCCTAAATAGCAGTGCGTGTACTGTGTCCAGGTCTGACGGCTCGGTCAGTACCTATAATAACAAACAATTACGTGAGCCACTCCATCTCAGCCCTCAGAGGTGACAACGCATCTGTAGCTTTCTTTAAGTTGCAGACCATTTCAAGTTGCAACCAACTTCAAATGATCTACAGTGATACCATACCATACCATCAGGTAAACTGTTAGTTCTCACATCATTTCAATTTTATAAAAAAGAGAAAACTACGATAACCTTACATCGAGCTTGTGAGAATCCTTAGCGCATATTGTTGCTGGTTTCCCGATATATAAGAACTTGAACGTCTTCTTTTGATATGTCTGGTCGTTATTATTATTTTATTAATACATACGTATTTGATAGCTCAATGGTTACTACTATAATTTTTAAGAGATTTACGTTACGTATTACGATCGCTTTATAAATCAATTAGTGCTGTCCATAGAGTACTATAATACACAATAGAATGGCTGTCAACCTTATTTTGTACGAGGATAGGCATCGTCGGGAGCACACGTGCAAGAAATAACGTCGTATTATCACTACTACAAATTCGACTCGCTGTATTGACAGACAGATTTTAATACATATATATTTGTAAATAAGGTGCAATTTGGCATTTTCTAAATAATTTGCATGGGAAATATGGAAACGATTGTAACGTCAAAATACTTCTCGTGTTGACATTTATACGTGTGAATTGACGTGTTAGTGACAATTTAGTGGCTACACGGGTTCCGCAAACTCCCCCGTTCTATTATATATGTAATTATAGTAATCTATGGTGCT